AGTCCTCCTGATCCATCTATCTAAATACCTACCTATCTCTATCTACCCTATCTATCTGGAGGATTGCTGGGAGTTGTAGTCCAGGAATAGGAAATTGGAAATATGCAGGGACTGGTATGCTCTCAAAGAAATCCAAGGAGAAGAAAGCTTGCAGCTTGGAAGCAGTGCATTTGGATCATCCTCCTCTCCTAAAGGGCCTGGTCTAGAGGATGCAGGGAGCTGTAGTCCGGAAGAGAGTGTGGATATGCTATTGTGTGTTTTGTTTGCTGGGGGAGTCATTTTTGCGCATGCACTGTAGCATATTTTTGCTTTTTGGGGTTTTTTTAGTCCCTTCTGCTGTGTTTTTCAGTGTTTTTATGAGTGATGGTCACTCGTTGGCCTGATAGGTGTATTGTGTCTAAATTTGGTGTCAATTCGTCCAGTGATTTTTGAGGTATGTTAATCCCACAAACTAACATTACATTTTTTATTTATATAGATATGCAAGCATGTGAACAGGATCACTGGACTGCAAATTATGCATGCCATGCCAATGTTACTATCTGTTTGTTTAGACGACTTTGTTGTGATTCATGAGTCAGGTGGAGAAGGGCTTGCACAAGTCAGGGGAAAGTTACTCTGAAAACGAAGTGGCCTGAAACCCTTGAATGAGTTCTTACAATATATCAGCTATGATGGGTAACAATGTAAAGCTTCATAAAGATCATAAAAGGACAGTCTAACTCACTGACTGATGACAGATTTAGGATGTGGAAAATCTGGAAGCCAATCAAAGTGCAGAAATAGTGTGCACCCATGCCCCTTCTACACTGCCATATAATCCAGATTGTTAAAGCAGATAATCCACTATCTGCTTTTAACTGTATTATATGAGTCTACGCTGCCATATAATCCAGTTCAAAGCAGATAATCAGGATTTTAAATGGCAGTGTACAAGGGGCCTCGGTTAACTGAGCAGGGGTTTGAGAGAGGAGGCAAAATCATACTCTTCCCAGTAAAATCAAGCAAGTCTGTTCTTCCTCATTAATGATGTTCACTAGTCTACATAGGGACCACCAAACACAATATTGCCCAAATATGAATCAAGGAACATGAAAGGCACTGCAGACTAACTCAACCAGAGAAGTCAGCCATAGTAGAGCACTTGATGAACCGACCTGAACACAGCATATTATTTGACAACACAGAAATGCTGGACCACTCTAACAACCATCATACCAGACTACACAGAGAAACCACTAAAATTCACAAGCATGTGGACAATTTCAACAGAAAGGAGGAAATCATGAAAATGAACAAAATCTGGCTACCAGTATTTAAAAATTCTAAAGTCAGGATAGTTAATAAAGAGGAACACTAAGAAAAAAACTGAGGAATTCCTGACAGGAAACAATCAGGACTAGCTAACCCCTCTTGATGAAGAATTCCCCAGGCAGGAAGCAGCCAGGTTTTGAAGCTGCAAGGCCATTCAATGCTAATCAAGGTGGCCAATTGCAACATTCACATTTGCCTCAAGCAGACAAGACTTCTTTCTCCCACCCTGGATATTCCACAGATATATAAACCACACTTGCCTAGTTTCCAACAGACCTATGCTTGCCATAGATGTGGGAGAAACATCAGGAGAAAATGCTTCTGGAAGATGGCCATATAGCCCAGAAAACTCATAGCAACTCAATGTTCACTATCTTGGCCACATATCTCCATTTTCATGCATGAAATGTTAGAAGGCATGGCATTTGAAGGGCCAAAGTTTGTTCACCTTGCAAAAAATGTATTTGTTTGATTATGAATTAATTATATTAATATAAAATATGATATTTATTTAATATTAGTTTTATGTAAAGTGTCTGCTACTTTAAAGAAATACTGTTTATATGTATACATTTGCTCTTTTGTGTGCTGGGAACAGGCTCTAAATGTATACTTATTCCAAACATTCCTTAGGGAATAAACCTACCTACAGTATTTCAGCCAAACCAGTGGCTTTATGGCACCATAAAGAGGGAAATATTTATGATGGCACACACTTCCATAAACCTCAACCCACAAAACCTTGTACTTTGTTAGAATTTAAGACATGATAGGACTTGGGTTTGTTTTGCTCCAGTGAGAATCTGGGGCACTGGAAACACTGAATGAACTGATTTGACTTAAAAGTACTGGAATTAGGTCTTTAGAGACATTTTGGATAAACCTGGCATCAGCTCTGTGCGACAGATAATCCTGGACCCAAAGTGCATTATTACGAGCGGTGACAAAAGATGCCTTAAAATGATGGGGCTCATTGAGGGGCATTTTAGAAGCAAAGAGGTTTTCCAATCAGCTCAAGATGTGTGAAAACAGCCAGGGAGGGAAGAAAAAACTCCAGACATTCGCACTTCGAAAAGCAAGCAAATACTAAAACATCTGTCAATATAGAAAACCATCTTGCAGCACCTTTACTTAGTGATGTCTTTGAATACATAGACCAGGTTTTGAATGTTCTCTGAAGACTCCTCCTTTAAATCAGCCTTTATTGAACTTTTTACTTAAAATAATGTTTGGTCTCACAGAACCCCTACATAAATATTAATATTACCACAGTTCAAATTATGCTTACTTGTTTGAGTCATGCTTCTTGAGCAACCCTGAAGTTTCAGAGAACCCTGGTTGCTTACCCCTTCTCTAGGAATCCAAAGTGTTCCAAAACCCTGCATTGTCCATATGGGCAGCTGGGATACTAATACCTGACATAGTGACATCTTTGTTTCCTGATGGTTTGATATACACAAAACTTTATTCAATGTGTAAAATTATTTAACATGCACGGTTTTGGAGTATTTTGGATATGGTATGTTCAACCAGTACATGATGTTGCTCTTGTGTGACTGTATCATGGGATATTCTGGGTCTCAGAGTGTGTGGCTCACACAAGGTCAGTCAATGGGTTTCCATGCTTGAGCACTGAGTCGAACCCTCACCTCCAGAGCTGAGTCCAATGCTCAAACTCTCTAAGGGTACATCTACACTGTAGAATCAATGCAGCTATACACTTTAACTGCCAGGACTCATTACAATGTCATCAGGAGAGTTGAAGTTTGGTGAGGCACCAGCAATCTATGGCAAACAACAACAACAATAACAACAACAACACTTTATTTATAATCCACCCTTCTCCTCAAGGGGACTGAGAGTGGATTACAGCATATAAACAGACACAAACAAACATTCAATACCTTGTTACAATGAAATACAATGATACACAAATACACAGACAAGGGCAAAGGCTTCTCCTTTCATTTCCAGCTCTGGAGGAAGTGCTCATCTCCAGCTCTGGGGGAGGTGTCCTTCTCCATTTCCAAGCTGAGGAACCTGCGTTGTCCATTGACACCTCCTGATTGTGTGGATGACTGCTTGAAGCGTCTTTTTCCTTTTCTCGCCAAAGTGGTACCTGTTGATCTACTCACATTTGCATGTTTTGAACTGCTAGGTTGGCAGGAACTAGGGCTAACAGTGGGAGCTCACCCCATCCCGTGGATTCAAACTGCCAACCTTCAGGTCAGCAGTTCAGCAGCACAAGGATTTGATCCATTGTGCCACCGCAGCTAAAGACCTTGTAAAATGACAGCTCCCATCATTCCATAGTAATGAATCGTAGCAGTTCAAGTGATGTTAAACTCCATCAATTCTACAATGTAGATGCACCCAAAGGCAAATATGATGTTCATATATAGACTTGTGTCCCATCTCCAACTTGTCTCATTATGTATATAAAAACATCACTACAGTAGGGTCTCACTCATCCAATGTTCTGTATTATCCAACCCAGTTTGCATCCCACCCGGATCCACAGCTGTTCCAATATATTGTGATGTTTTGGTACTAAATTCCTAAATATAGTGATTACTACATAATGTTACCGTGTATTGAACTGCTTTTTCTTGTAAAACATCAGGTTTTGGTGCTTAATTTGTAAAATCATAATGTAATTTGATGTTTATAGGCTTTTCCTTAATCTCTCCTTGTTATCCAACATTTTTGCTTATCCAACATCCTCCTTGTACATTTATGTTGGAAAAGCGAGACTCTACTGTATGTAACAAAATTTGAAAAAAATCTCTGTTCCTCTTTTGAAAGTGTTATTTCCTGTTTAATGGTGCTGTATTTTGGTTAAGACCCTATGAGATATTCATTGAAAAACTATAACAACATGTACTGCAACTTTATTTATTTATTTACTTCACTTTTCTCACCCCAGTGGGATATAAATTGCATATTTTAATTTGTTGTGTAATGTTTAGTGTTGTTTTATGTTTAAATTATATCTCAGATTTGTTTTATAGGCATGGAATGCTTGCCGGTTTAGTTGGAAACCGCTCTGAGTCCCCACAGGGAGATAGGGCGGGATAGAAATAAAATTTATTATTGTTATTATTAAAGCAATGTTTTTGCAGTTTAATAATCTTTTTCCATGTTTTTATCATATAACCAATTAGGAAATGACATTTATAACCTGAGAACAAAAACCGTGTCACAATTATTTTTATTTATTTATGATTTACTATATTTCTACCAAGGAGCCCCCAGTAGTGCAGAGGGTTAAACTGCAGAGCTGCTAAACTTGCTGACCAAAAGGTCGGTAGTTCGAATTCAGGGAGTGGAGTGAGCTCCTGCTGTTAGCCCCAGCTTCTGCAAATCGAGCAGCTCGAATACATGCAAATGTGATTAGATCAATAGGCACTCCTTTGACGGGAAGGTAACAGCGCTCCACATAGTCATGCGGGCCACATGGCCTTGGAGGTGTGTATGGACAATGCAGGCTCTTCGGCCTATAAATGGAGATGAGGACTAGCCTCCTTTCCCCTGCGTGTGCGCGCGCGAGGGCAGGCTTCGGAACCCAGAGCGGCTCCCCTTGTGACGTCAGAATGGTTGCCCCGCGCGCGGGGCGGCTGGCGCGCGCTGGGGTGCAAAGGCGCCGCCCGCAGGCCGGGCTCGAGCTAGCTCGCGAGCAGGCAGCAATGGGGCATCCCAGGGCCGGCGGCGTCCATGGGTGGTGTTGGCAGCGGCCGATGGCGCTTCTGCTGCTGCTTTTCCTCGTGCGCCTCTTCGCCTCGGAGCATCCCCCGCCCGACATGAACGCCAGCTTCGCCTTCGATGAGCCCCCAGATGAGGACGAGGAAGACCTCACCGAGCCCATAGTAGAGATGATTGAACACTCCGGTGAGCCTCCTTGGCCAGCCCCAAGGCCTCCAAGCTTTCTCTCAAAGGGACAGGCTTTTCCTTTCTCAAGAACATTGACAAGTTTCAACAACTTCTTTTTGGTTTTGGGGGTGTGTGTTAAAGATGGAGCCAAAGCATCCCAAACTGTCGGTCCTCCATCTCCCAGAACTCTTTACAAATTGGCCTCAAACTTTTGGGACTTGAAGACCCCAAACCCACGGAAGATTAAAGTCGAAGGCTTTCATGGCCGGAATTACTGGGAGCCCTTCCACACAGCCCTTTGTCCCAGAATATCAAGGCAGAAAATCCCGCATTATCTGAGTGTGGACTCGGTAACCCAGGTCAAAGCAGATATTCTGGGATATAGGGCTGTGTGGAAGGGTCCTGGGTTGTGAGTTTTCTGGGTTTTATGGCCATGTGCCAGAAGCATTCTCGCCTGACGTTTCGCCTGAGGATGCAAACACACAAGAGTTCCTTCTCCCACCCTGGACATTCCACAGATATATAAACCTCACTTGCCTTGTTCCCCTCAACCTCTGAGGATGCCTACCATAAATGTGGGCAAAACGTCAGGAGAGAATGCTTCTGGAACATGGCCATACAGACCGGAAAACTCACCGCAACCCTTTGGATTGCATGAAAACACCAGCTTTGGTTCTCCAAAGAGTTTGGGCTTCAGCTCCTATATTCCCTGGCTGTTAATAAAGCAGCCTGGGGTTTCTGGGATTTGAAGTCCAAAATACCCAGAGGTCCAAAGTTGGGGAAGCCAGACCTAAAAGGGAGCATTCAAAAGTTGCACCTGTGTTTGCTAATGATGTAGCACAAGCTTGTGACCCAGGCATGGGCAAATTTGGGCCCTCCCTCCAAGTGTTTTGGACTTCAACTCCCCACCATTCCTAAAAGTCTCAGGCCTGCTTAAGCAGCTGAGGGGGAAAAGGAAGAAGCCTGAGGCTGCTAGGAATGGTGGAAGTTGAAGTCCAAAACTCCTGGAGGGCCCAAGTTGGCCCATGCATGACCTATCTCAACCTACTAATTTGCATATGGTTTCTGATTGGCCAGCCTCAACATTCTAACATTCTTAAGTGGCAGAGGAGGAAAAGGAAGGGGCCTGAGGTTGTCAGGATGGTGGGAGTTGAAGTCCAAAACACCTGAAGGGAGGGCCCAAGTTGGCCCAGGCCTGCTGTAACCCTTCAAGCTACAAGAAAGGACATCACACCTGAACATGAGGAAGCACTTCCTGATTGTGAGAGCTGTTCAGCAGTGGAAATCTCTGCCCCAGAGTATGGTGGATGCTCCTTCTTTGGAGACTTTTAAACAGATGCTGGGTGGCCATCTGTCAGGGATGCTTTGAATGTGATTTTCCTGCTTCTTGTCAGGGGGTTGGACTGAATGACCCACAAGGTCTCTTCTATTATTCTATGAGCCAAGGCAGTCAAAGTGGTGTCAAACTGCATTAATCCCCCTCATTCCCCCTGACAAGGAGCTTTCCTGAGGTACTTGGGGGCTGTTTGGCTCAAGGTCCCTTGCAATCCTCAGGCGCCAAGGAGATGCCTCTTCATATGTCAGACCAGATATTTACAAGGCAGAACCCAGCGTCGTGATTGCTTGAGCAACGCTTAATCATCCTTCCTCAGGATGTCACTTGTCTTTTGATGCTCCCACCCGCCCTACGTTTGACAGGCAGGCAGTGGGAAGAAGAAGGGGACACGTCGGTACAACAACTTGCTACCAAGCCAAAAAAGGGTCCTTTTTGAAGCCAGGCAGAATAATTTAAAGAATCATGAGCAGCGAACGTTTTGTTGTGTGCCTTCAAGTCATTTCTGGCTTATGGCGACACCAAGGTGACGCTTTCACTGGAGTTTCTTGCCAAGATTTCGTCAAAGAATCAGCCTTTGAGGGAATGTGATTTGCCCAGGGTCACTCAGTGATTTCCATGGCTGAGTGAGAATCCAAACCCAGTCTCCACAGTGTTAATCCAACCCTTAAACAGCAACATCCCAATGGTGGGAAGGAAAAAGTAGTTGGAAAGCAAAGTAAATGCCACCTGGATATTGACCTGAAGTGATGCTCTACCTGTATTTGAGAAAACACATTCAAATACAGATAAATTGTCCCTTATTCAGAAATCCAAAATGCTCCAATATTCAAAATTGCTCATATGTATAGCTGAAATAGTTGTAGTAGTAGTAGTAGTAGTAGTAGCAGCAGCAGCAGCAGCAGCACTTTATTTATATTCTGCCCTATATCCCCAAGGGGACTCAGAGCAGATTCCAGCATATATACAGACACAGGCAGACATTCGATACCCTGATACAAAGAAACACAAAGACACACAGGCAAAGACAAAGGCTTCTCCTTTCATCTTCAGCTCTGAAGGCGGTGCTTATCTTCAGACCTGGGAGAGGTACTCATCACTATTTCCAAGCCAAGGAGCCTGCGTTGTCCACAGACATCTTCTGATCGTGTGGCCGGCATGACTGTATGGTCTGATTGCCTTACCTATTGATCTACTCACATTTGCATGTTTTTGAACTGCTAGGTTGGGGCTAACAGCGGGAGCTCACCCCATCCACAGATTCAAACTGCCAGCCTTCAGGTCAGCAAGATCAGCAGCTCAATGTTTTAAACCATTGCAGCACCACGGCCCACAATAGTGTCACCTTTGCTTTTGGATGGCCCAGTGGATACACACTTTGTTTCATTTACAAAATTGCTTAAATATATTGTGTATAAAACTTCATGAAACATAAATAAATTTTGTATTTAGATATGGGTCCCATCTCCAAGGTATGTTGCAATTTGTATACAAATATTCTAAAATCCAAATTCCAAAACACTTCTGGTCTCTAGCATTTCTGAGAAGGGCTACCCCTCTTTATGCCTTGAGCCACACTGAACAAATATGGTTAGTTGTTTGACATCAAGTTGGCTTTGACTGCTGGCAAGGATACATATGAGAGACTTCCAAGAGGAAAAACATTACTGAGATAGAATTTTAATTTTCTCATAGATGTTATCCCCACCTCCAGATTTTAAAAAGATATGGGCACAATTAATCTCTTTTGGCTTAACTGTGCAAAAGATTGATATTACTTGTCCTTGGAGGAGGCCACCCTGTTTATTATTGCCAAAATATCTCACCCACACTTCCTCCAAAGAACTGAAGGTATTGTCGAAGGCTTTCATGGCCGGAATCAGTGGGTTGCTGTGATTTTTCCAAGCTGTATGGCCATGTTCCAGAAGCATTTTCTCCAGACATTTCACCCACATGTATGGATGCCTGCCATGGATGTGGGTGAAACGTCAGGAGAGAATGCTTCTGGAATATGGTCATACAGCCCAGAAAAATCATAGCAACCCAACTCAAGGTATAATATGTGGTTTTCTATTCACAACAATCTTTATCCAAAATGCTTAGGGCCAGGAGTGTTTGGGGTTTCCAAAGGTTGGAATACCTGTATTTGCACTCGCATAGTGAGATAATCTTAGGGATGGGGCCCAAGTCTAAACATGAAACCCATCTATGTTTCATATACACTTCATACACAAAGCTTGAAGGTAATTTCATACAGGATATTTGGAGTAATTTTGTGCATGAAACAAAGTTGCTGAGCATTGAACCATTAGAAAGCGAAGTTACAACTTCAGCCACCCATGTAGACAATTCTGGATTTTGGAGTATTTTAGATTTTGGAATTCCAGACAACTTGTACTATGCAAGGAACCCTCTTCTGTCAGAGACCCCTCCCTACCATTGTTTTGCATGGCATTTCGTGGATTGTTATCTGCTTGCATTCGCAGAGCTTGTTGTTTACTTATCCTTCTAGTTTTGTGGGGCTGCCTGCCTTGGAAACTAGGCAAGTGGGGGTGTATATATCTGTGGAATGATGTCCAGGATGGGAGAAAGAACTCTTGCCTATTTGCATCTATGGCAGGCATCCTCAGGCAAAATGTCAGGAGAGAATGCTTCTGGAACATGGCCATACAGCCTGATGATTCCAACCATGAAAACCTTTGACAGCCTATTGTTTTGTTTGTTGTGTTTTCATCTTGTTTCTGTGATTTTCAAAGGACATGTTTTAAATACATTTTGTGCCACCCTAAGATCTTATAATAAAGGACAGGACATAAATGTTTGAATAGATCTAAATAAGTGGTTCTCAATTTGTGGGCCACGGCCCAACAGTGGGCCTTGAGAACAAAAATCTGGTCCATGAACCTCCTTATTTATTTTATTTTATATATTTTATTTCTTCTCCTTTCCACAGTGCTAACCAGTCCTGCCTCTTTTACTAATGTTGGAGAGTGTCCCTTGTTCAAATGGGCCCCATTCAAGTGGTCCCTGGTCAAAATGGTCCCTGGTTAAGTGGTCCCTGGTCAAAATGGTCCCTGGTTAAGTGGTCCCTGGTCAAAATAGTCCCTGGTCAAGTGGTCCCTGGTTAAGTGGTCCCTGGTCAAGTGGTTCCTGTTCAAGTGGGCCCAGGTCAAAGTGGTCCCTGGTCAAGTGGTCTTTGGTCAAGTGGGCCCACGTCAAAGTGGGTCCTGATAAAGTGGTCCCTGGTCAAAAAAAGGTTGGGAACCACTGATCTAAATAAACACCCCTCCCCCAATTTATATAATCCCAACGTTGAAATAAGGAAAATGTGACTGAGAGGTAGTGATGGGTCCAGGTGAGATGGATACCTGGCTGTGGATTCTTTTGCACCCATGGTTTCCAGCCTTAATCTGGCACCTTGTCTCCTTTTTACTAGATAAACCACTAAGAGTCACAAGACTTGTGGGGCGGAGTCTTGAGAGCTTGCACCCTCCCTTTTTATCTGTTTTTCCCCACTGGTATCCTTGCCATCCAGACAATTTTGCTACCATATCATAAGCTTGCTAATTCATGTTAAAATAATGTTTTGATCATGATTCACCATGTTAGCCAGATCATTTTAATAGTTTATTCAAGACAACTTCTGTGTGAAGCTCATCAGATGAGCCGCACTACCCTTATCTAT